AAGAATACAAAATCTTTCAAGAAAAAGAGTTTTGGGAATATTGAAGAAAAGTTTAATATTAAATCTGGCATCTGACTGAATACTAAGATATTTTTGTTTGAGGTCAATGGTTTGTGTAAAAAATTCAATTTTAAATCTTTTAGGTCTAAGCTAAAGGTCTTTAGTAAATTTTTGGTAATCAATAGATTGATAGTTATTAGATAGAAAAAGGTAAAACTATGCAAGATTAAGACAGAGTTGAAGGTGATTGTGAGCTGTATATGGGGGAATAGTAACTGGTGAGGTGAAGATTTCAAGGTAGTTAAGTTTATTAAATAGGATAGTTGTAAATTTAAGGATAAAGTTTTTGAGAGTAGATTCAAGAATATCAATAAGGATAGTAGCACTTTTGTTGATATTAGAATTGTTGTTATAAATAAGATCAGTTAAAAATTCAGGTTGTTGCTCAGCCATAATACGAATAATGTAATAAAATGAAGCTTTAAGTGCAGGTTAAGTGGCAGTAGCTGGCTTAATTTTTTTGCCAAGATAAAAATCATAAAGGAATTTTTTAAGGAATGAAAAGAGTTGAAGAAAGAATATAGTTTAAAGTTTTTTATTAGGTTGCATTTCTTTAGTAATGGAAAAATTTGCAACTTAGTCATATGTAAGATTAGATTTTGGTTTAAGAATGCTAAAGTAAAATTGGGAGAGAGGTTTGTTAGGAGTATTTTCAAGTTGGTTAGTATTGTTAGAATTGTTAGAATTCAAAATTGGAAATATTAAGTTATTAGTAATAGAAGGTTGGTTAGAAGTAGAATTAGTGTTAGTAATTATAGAAAAAAAAAATTTGATAAGATCGGAAAAAGTTGAAGTTTGGTAAAAGGGTGCAGTAAGAGGATTGGTAGTTTGAGAGAATTCATGTAAGATATTTTGAAAGATTTGAGTGAGATTTTTTTTAGTTTGGAATGAACTAGCTTCATATTGAGATAAGGCAGTCATACAAGTAAGGTAATAGACTTCATTGTTTTTAGAACATATTTTTCAGTAGGGTAGTGATACTCATTTCTCTTGGTACAACCAATTGAAAGAGAGCATTTTGGGCAAGTATGATAATATATGTTTGGTGTAGAAGATTTAGAAGACTATTAGTAGAAGAAGAGAGATTAGTCATAAGTTGTTGAGTTGTTCTGTTAATTTTTTTTGAATTGCTATTGATGTAGGCAGTTGTAAATTCAGTAGCTTAGATATAATTGGTGTTTGAGATTGAGATGAATTTGATATAGTATTTATCGCAAAAACAAGTAATTACAAAAGTAGAGGTAGGAGCTTAGAAGAAATGAGTAATCTTATTTGATCTAAGATTTTTTGTTAAACAGCTAGTAGGTTGGACTTTAGGAGAGATTGAACGAGTCTTGTTATTGTTTTTTTTTTCATAGAGGGCAATTTCAAAACTATTAGAGAAGTTTTGGTAGAAGTAATCAAGGTCTGCTGTATCTGGTTCTTATTGAATTAGAGTAGGTATTGTTAAATAATAACAAGTTCAATATAAATTTTCTTAAAGACTTAGAGTTTTTTCTTTAAATTAACTTAGAAATATTTTCTAAATAGAATATAGTTGTAAATAATGAGTTTTACAAGAATTGCAGATAGGTGTAAGGGTTATAGTTTAAAAATGTTACAAGGATAATACTAGAATGTAATCAGGATGATAGGGTCACTAATATGACTCAGGTACTAAACACAAATAGAATTTGCAATACAAATTACTGTGTAATATTAGTAAAGACTAAATATAGCAATAATTGATTGTGTGAATGGGTTTCTATTAATAGATGGATTACAAGATATTGGTGTAAATTAATAAAGTATAGATTAGAAAATGATTATATAATTATACAAAAAACATGTAAAGGAAAAAGAGAATGAGATAAGAACAAAAGATAAAAAAAAAAGTTTTATAAGAGAGTAAATATTAAATTTAGTTGTAGTTCAGTCAATATTGAGTCAAAAATCTTCATTTAGAGCTTGTTTTGACTGGGTAAATGTTTACTACAATTTTACTTAAGAGTATAAAATAGATTAAGACAGTAGCAACTGCAAAATAGCTAAAAGTTATAAACTGGAGGCCAAAGGCTGTCAGTACAGTTTTTTCGATGAGTTTGAAATATAGAAACTTAATATTTTTAAAATATATGTAAAATGATAAGCTGAACAACTTTACTTAAGAATTTAAGGCAGATTATCTTAGTAAAATAAATAGTTATAAGTATTTTTTGATGAATGAATTTTTTAGTTGATTTTTGTGTAATGGATTTGCAGAAAAAGTTTTCTTTTATTAAGATTCTTAAAACTATATATTTATATAATTACATAGAATTTTCTAACATCTAAGTCTAGTATCACTTGGCTACCTTAACAGCATCTAAGTGCAATCTGTCACACTATCCTAGTTAAAAATAAACTGCTCATCTAACTACTTAAAACTATACTAAAAGGGTCTTTTCTCTTCTGTAACAAGCATATTTATTGTCTTTAAAGTTTCTTTCTTCATTTGGTCTACATTTCTGCTTTTTTTTTTTTTTTCTTCTTTTGCTTATTTATCTTTCTTTATCCTCTTCTTTGTTTTCTCTCTTATATAAACACCTTTTTTCATTTTATTTGTTATATTGATATTCTTCTTCCAAGTTTGCATTTTTTCATATCACACTCTTCATACTTGGTTATAAAAGATGTTCTATACTGTTCTTGTGACTATATATATGCATTTCTGTGTTGTCTGCTTGTTTAGGAGTTGCTCCAATTTTTTTTCTATTATTAGTATTGTGGGTCTCTTTATCAGTACTTTTCTGTTTGTGATTTCTCCAGCTTCTGTTTCTTCAAATAATGCCTTATAAAGAACTTGTAGTAAAATTTTGTTTTTTTACTCTTTTTTGAGTCTATTCTATGCTGTTGTTATTACAATTTTTTGAATTCACTTTCACAAACTCTTTTGTTCACTACAACTTGCTAAATGTGTCTGAGTCTCTTTTTCTTCAGCTTAACATACTTGATACTCTATTGTTGTGTATACTTTTAGTCTTCTTCTGTTTAGTTCCTTAAGTGTTAGTAGGCTATCTATTATGCACTTAATTGCTGTAGTTCTTCTTGTACTAAGTTTTCTTGATATATAATGAACTCTTTTTGTTTTATTCATTTCTTTTCAAAAACTTATTCAATTATATAATGCATTTTCTGTTTCTGGTTCTAATGTTCATATTGAATTTGTTTCTTTCTAACTAGCTCTTATTCTGGCATTTGTTATTATTTTATACAAAAGTCTTGCTAGTATGTCAATTTTCTTGTTTTTCTATTCTAAATGGTACTTTATTCCATTATATTTGACTTTATTTACATATATTTTATTTTGGCATTTTGCTCTTTTTTTTGTAAGAAAGTCTGCTTTGTTATTCTACTTATTTTTACTATAACTTTTAACTTTAATTATTTTTATTCTAATGTTCTTGCTCTTGATTAGACCTACAATATTCATTATCTATATTGTATTTTTTTTTTTCAGGATTCTTTTCTTTTCTACATTTTGAAATGCTCTATTAATGTTCCTTAATGCTATAATGCTGTCTGTAAACACTTCTATGCTTTTTCTTTCTGGTACTATTAGAATTGCTGTTTATATTGCTGCTAATTCTGTTATTGTTACTGAAGTCCAGCCTTTAAGTTCTAATACAGTTTTCTCTTCTGGCCAATCTTCTTATTCTTTTACTTGTATTCAACTGATATCTATCCTTTCTGTATTATTTTTTTCTTTCTTCTTATATAATACTTCATCAGTTTAGAAACTATATTTTCTTTTGTTTTTCTTCTTGTTTTATGTCAATATTTCTACTAACTAATTTGTAATTATGTTATTTAAATTTTGTTTTTTAATTAGTTCTATTCCTAATTCTTTTGTTTGTCTTATTTCTAGTAACTTCATTTCATCTCTTTTCCATTCTTTTATTATTCTATCTTCTAGTATCTGCTCTAATATTGTATTTATTCTATTGTTAGCTTTCTCTATTAGCAACTCTGATATCATTTTCATGTTGTAGTCTTGTTTTATTCATCTTTCACACTTGTCTGTCATCTGTTCTAAACTGTTTTCATAATCTTTGTATATACTTAATTCTGTCGATGTTCTTCCTTCTTCTATATGCATTAACCAATATTCTGCTAACACTTTTTTTTTTTTTTAATTACTTTGTCTACTTGTTGGTTGTGTTTCAGTTTATAAATAACCTATTCTTTTTTCCTTCAGTCTTTAGACATCTTTGTTCACATAATCTTTAATGCTTATATATTGTATCTTCTTACTTTGTATTGGTTTTGTATTTTTCTGCTCACTTGTATTTTTAACATTTTTTCTTTTATTTCACTAAACCACTTAGCTTTCTTTTTTTTATATAACAAATCTTGAAAACTTTTAAAATTTGTCAAAATTAAATAAATTAAATAATATTAAATTTATATAATTTAATTATTGTACAGGTCTTATGTAGCAATCCATGCTTTTTTAGTTTACTTATTTGTACAGGTATATATGAAAATTATATAATTTTTATATATACCTGTGCAAATATTGATTTATTAAAATTACTACAATAAATATATTTTAAAATAGTGTTTTTTAAACTATAATTAGCTGAGCAAAACATAATTTATTTAAATATATTTTAAATTGTTATTATATATTTTATTGAAAATAAAATAAACTAATTAATAAAGAAAATCTTTAAATTGAGATCAATTAGTTTGCTAGTATCAGAAAATTAAATAATAACATTATTCATAACTTGTTGCAATACTTTACATTTGTTATTTGCAATTGGCACTGAAAATTCATCATTTTTTTCTTCATAGTGTTTAGTTGCTTGATTATAATGATTATTTTTGTCTTGTACTATTTGTTTCTTTTTATTTTTTTGTGTTTGTAGGTTTTGAGTAAGTATTTGTTGGTTCTGAGATGCAGATATTTGTTGGTTTTAAGGTGCAGGTATTTGTTGATTTTGAGATATAGTAGTTTCTTGGTTTTGAGAACAAAGTTGGACTTTCTTTGTAGGTATTTTAGAAGGTATTAAAAGTTTAGAATTCAAATTCAAAACTATATGTTTTCTGAAAGAAAAAATCTTATCTAAGAAGTCAAAAAATCTATTAAAAATAGTTAATACATAATTGATTGAAACAATGTATAAATACTTGAAACTGAAATAATAGTTAGTCTAGAAGCAAAATTCAATAATTGTTAATTTTAATTCGATATAACATCAGTATTGAGACTTGAATTTAATATAGTTTTAGTGTTACAATTTAAATTTGTCATAGAATTAGTATTAGCATTTAGATTCGATATAGAATTAATATTTGAGCTTAGACTTGATATAGTATTAGAATTTAAAATTTCTTTTCATTTTCATTATCTAAAAAAATAAAGGCAATAAATAATTAATTTAAAACATTTTATAACAATACAATAGTACCTTTATTTTTATCTAATTTATAATTGACATAATTATATGAATCACTAGAAAAAGTATAATAAGATTTGAGATCTTCATTATAAGCTGTAAAGGGTGTAGCAACTTAGTGAAGTGGATAAGTTGTCATATCCCCAAGTGGTAGGTTGTGAATTCAAAACCCACTGATGACAAAATTTGAATAATTACCTATATAATATATAGACAGTATTATAGTGATGGCATTCTGTCAATCAGTTGTGATAGGATACCTGTAACTATAGTCATACCAGCATGACTGGCAGGTCTGGGGCATCTGTGTAACCTGTTATACAGAGGAATGCAAACTGGTACTGGGTGGTACAAACCTAAAATAAGTCCTCAGGCTGTGTAAATCAATAGAACTGAGAAGCTGAAGCCCAATTGAAAATTTCAAGCAAAGAGATAACATGGATCTTTGATGGTACTACTGTAAAAGCTAGACCTAGTAAATGAATACCAATATAAAAGATTTGGGTGGGCAAGAACCTTAGGTAAGGGGTACTACCAACCAGGCTGCCGGATTTCAGACCAGAGGAAAAGGATATTGGGCCAGTCTCAATATACCAAGAACAGGTCATAGTCCTTTCAGGCTATCTGGATTGGGAGTCTAGGTTCAAAGCAAGGGTATACTAAAAGTACTAGGAATATGCTGTAAAGTCAGTACTAGGGTCTGAGTGAACTTTGCAAGAGTAGTCTGTGTTA